TCCTTGTGGGGGAGTTGGGCAGTGATATAAATTTGATTTATAAATAAAATAAATAAATAAAAAATACATGCAATGTAACTGGGCAGGCCTACCTTGGTAGCCATTTCATGATTAGCTGTGACATGCTCCCAAAATTCCTGATACAGGGAGCCCCTGGGTTAAGAGCGCCCAGATTACAAATGACCCACAGTTAGGAACGGAGCCTTTTGCAGCAAAATTTGAGTTAAATGCACAATGGTTTGAGTTCATTACACAATACTACTTAGGCAGTATTATATAATAATACTGTTCTGGCTTATGTACTAATTCAGCTTAAGGACAGGTCTTGGGAATTGAACTCATTCTTATACTGCGGACTACCTGTATGTCTACCAGCTCAAGCAGATTGGCTATCCCTGCTTTTGCCTTAAAACGAAGCAAAAATCCTCAAGAAAATCCTTATGAAAAAATAGCAGGGGATAGAGGGGCTCATTCCCTCTGAGCTGCTTTTGTTCTGTATGCAGAGATACTTGGACAGGGATTATGTAGAATTGGCAATAGTTGGAAAATAACAAGTGATGGTCAGACCCAGTGCTTTGTTTGGAGGTGTGTTCACCTGCTAAGAAAAAGGACCAGAGTAATCAGGTGATGGGGAATATCCACCAGCAGGGAGCTGTGTCAGGGAGACAGGCTGAGAGCTTGAAGTTCCCATGGCAGAGAGGTGAGTTTTATCAATAGTTCATCACAGTTCAGCTTCAAAGCCAAGAAATGCACAGCAAAGAACCCCTGAAATATAGCAGAAAGAAGAAGCCATGGGTTTGAACTGCCAGGGGCATAAGAAGGAATTTGCATCTTCAGTCTGATAGAGAGTGATCAACATTTTTATATAGTTTCATCCTAGCATGCAGCAAAGATTCTTATCCAGCCAAGCTGTGTTGTGTGCCTGAGAATCACTAGTGGAGTTGTAGCCTAGCAGTCAAGTCAAGCCAAGCCGAGCCGAGCCCTGCATCTGGAAGTTTCTGTGGAGGTTTGCTGAGAAAATTGGCAGGAGACAATGAAAGAGTGACAGGTCATAACCTGGTAAATTGATGCTTTGTAACTGTTATGATTGCCCATTTGTGAATGGGCAAGCCTCTCCCAGAAGTTATTTTGCAAAAAACATCAACAATAAGGGTCCACCACCCTTAACGGGGTAGTAGGAGTATTTGGTATTTTAAGGATATGTTTTGCGAGGGAATTTCCACAGAACCGTTGCCTGCATGGGCATGTATCAGAAAGCAGCAAATGACTGGACTGAAACCATCCACTGTGATATTTTTAAGAATGCCTCTTTGGTCTCTGGGCATATGTGCACTTTCAGGTTGCCCTACTGTGAATCAAGCCACCAATCATTTCTGGACAGCAGGAACAAATGACATTGTCCTTGCACAAAACCACTTGGGAGTACCACTTGAAGACCATCGGCATTGACAAAAATCACCATCAGTC